ATCAATCAGTAATCAACTCAGGACAAGATAAATAACAGCAGAACCCACTTTTATTCCTTGACAGTTTATCAGCATTTGGCCCCGCAGTACCTTCCTAACATGTCCGAATCGAGCTCTTCCCATTCGATAAAGAATCTTTCGTCCGTCAGAATCAGGAATCTTTGCCGCAATCCTCTGGTGTTATCTCGCGGGCGTCAGGCCAAACAAACGGGTCCTCGCAACCACGGGCGAAACATCCGCAATCTACTTCTGCGTTTTTCTTTAAACAGGACCATTCAATAATTCCTGCCATAGAGAAATGGACAATAAGGCAATGCCGCCCTCTTCACGCGAAGGAACGGGCCTTCCTCCAGCGTCAGGCCGCCGCAGCAGGCCCTAAGTAAGCCGCGCTGCTGATTCAGTCCTGACCAGTCCACACTCAGTCTCAACGTCTGCCGGGTCAACTCCGTGTGTGCTCAGCTCAAAACCTTTTCGTTTTCCGTCCCTGGGTGAACTTCGCATCACTTCAGTTGTTGAATCACGAGCTAGTTATGCTATCTGGATACTCATTTTTTGATCGGGGGAACACTCGTTTTAAATCATTTCTGTTCAAATGATTTGCCATCATTAACGCGATGCTTTCTCGTGGCATAAACTCACACGTAAACAGTTGGTGCAGATTGCACACAGAATCCTGAACCTATCTTTAACACTGTCCTGCAATGTAGGCTATCAACAAAAATCGCTTAGAAACCTAAAGTTATAGCGTAAATGTATTTTTATTTAATTTTTTGAAGTAATTTAAACCCACAGCTTCACTATTGTTTTTTTTTCTGATTCAGAACGAACAAATATGCAGGGAATGTGACCCATAGGCTATAGCCATAGAAATAATTAAAATAAACCATCATGTTGAGGGTTCCTACACAACTTAGAAAGTACATTTTAATTTTTTTTGAATTACTTAACGACTAAATGAATATGCGTGTGCCACTAAAACCAGCAACGGATTGAACAAACAATCATCTAATTCAGACTGTAATATGCTGTTTGATGATCATCCAACATCAAACAATGATTACTGAATCAAACCGATGTGTCAGAGGTGAATATACGCAGGTTCTAAAACGTTTTAGTCTTCTCATGTAAGCGCATGTTATCACTTTGAGAAACCAATAAAAAAAATATATACAAAAAAAAACTTTTTCAAACGTTTAATAATCGATAGGATATTTCTGATCTCGTCCACCTTCCCAGACAGTCTAAACTGTTCTAAACGCGAACTGCTATCTTTGCTCGGCCACTTAAATTTCAGATGCGCATAATCCTGCAAGGATTTAATCTCTCACCTCCTCTTCCTCACGTCTTTGATTAACGTGCAAGAAGACGAGCATCGGTCTGCCAGGCCCCAATCTCCTCCCTTCACTCAGCCTCACACCACAGGAGCTCAATTTCTCCAGCAGTGATGTCTTCTCTGCTCCGCAGGAGCTCAATTTCTCCAGGTAAGTTATGTTGCATGCATCTATGTTTCTTCTTTCTCTGTCCAGCGAGCATTGGCCTCCCAGCGGACGTTGCATGCATCTATGTCTACTCTTTTCCATCCAGTGAGCATTGGTCTCCCAGTGGATGTACTATGTACTTATGGTGCGTTCTATTATTTATGCGTGTCGGAGTTCCGACTAGGAAGACATACGTTACCTAGCAACACGCCCCCTTTCCTCGGATTTCCCAGCTTGGAAGTCAGACCGTGAGGACACCGAGCAAGAATTCCGATACGGAATCCAAGATGGCTGCACCCTGTGTGACTTTTATGAATTGTTTTCATTGTTTTTATCATTTTTGGACTGCTTTGGTTGTTTAAATGACGATTTTAATCACTCTTATTACTGCAATACCTTACTGCGTCTGTATCACTGCCTGTGGTCATGGGAATCGGCCTTGTTCTGAGTGCAATATTGAATGAAGCCTTGTTTCAAACCGGTGTTACTAACGTGGCTAGCGTTGCTAACAGAAGATAACTAAAACATGAAATAAAGTGAAAATTTTAGAAGTTCAAATGGCTGCGTTTTGATAAGCGCCTGGTACTCAGCCAGTGCTACCATAGCAACAGCTTTCTGGGTGGTGTCCATGTTTTTTCTCCAACTCGGACGCGCAAAATGTACCAGAACCCTTGAAGTGTAGAAGTGACGTCATATACGAGGGCCCAATCGGTTCGTTGACAATAATTGGCTCGTTGAACTTGACATAATAGAACGCAGTGTTATCTCTACTCTCTCCCGTCCAGCGAGCATTGGTCTCTCAGCGGACTCGACACGTATCTATCTTTCTTGCCCAGCCAGCATTTTCAAATTCATTCCACTTCGCAGGCGGCCGGTAGAGCCCAATATCCTGACGCCATTGAGCCGCTCACGTCAGAAGCTACATGGGCCCTCCCGGTCAGCCGTTTTTTCGATTCCCGCTTAACTCACCCATTAACGCCATGGAGATATACTTGATCAAGCGATCAAGCTTATTGAAAAGCCAGCCCGCCAAATTCGCTGCGTCTTTGGGAGCTCTATAGTCTCGCGGCTGTCCTTTTGCTCTTTTGCTTTTTGGGGGGAGTACTCTGGGTTCGGGCAGAAATTCCGAGCTCAGAGCCCTCCACCCAGACAGCACGCCAAGTACGCATAACCTTTACCATAATAATTATATGTAGATGTGAACTCGTGAAATCATGTTTTATTAACAAGGTTCGGGAGGAGCAGGTGCAGATAATTAACCCAATCAGCACAAGTGGAGTTTCAACAGTAATCAACTCAGGACAAGATAAATAACAGCAGAACCCACTTTTGTTCCTTGACAGTTTATCGGCATCCCACCTCCACCCCATCTCCTCACTTTTAGTTCCATCTCTAGTTCCATCTACTCTTACCAACGGGGGGAGTACTTTGGGTTCGGGCAGAAATTCCGAGCTCGGAGCCCTCCACCCGGACAGCACGCCAAGTACGCATAACCTTTACCATAATAATTATATGTAGATGTGAACTCGTGAAATATATCTAGTCAGTGACAGAGTGCAAGCATATTCGTCTAAAATTATTCTGTATTTTCAGCTTTAGAATCATGAACATTGGGTTACCAGCACCAAGTCCAAGCCTATTCATTTACACCCACAATGTAATATCAAATTTAGCATTTTAATCAATAGAACATTTTTTGTTAACCTTTTATCATATGTCTTGGAGTATCGCAATAATATCATATCGTGAGTTCAGTATCGTGATATGTATCGAACTGTGAGAAAAATCTTTTGTAACATCATAAATGCCTTTAATGTCTCTTTTTGGCAATTTAATGTTTCCTTGCCGAATAAAAGTATTCATTTCTTTAAAGCGCATTTCTTTAAAGCGTCCGGCGTTTTCCCTCTTTGTCGCCATCTCTGTTCGAAATCTGCAATTGCAGTCATTCGCGGAATTATCAATTTTACCTGAGTTGTACTTCAACACCCTCGACACGGCACAGCGCGGATGAATCCAATGTTTGAGGAGAGTGTGAGGCAGTCAGTCACCGGGCCGGGTGTGGATACTGGCATTCAGAATCACAGATTATTCTTTTTGGAAGTATGACCAACATAATAATTTTCACCGGAAAATGTAATCTGAACAAGTAAGTAACATCCACTTTTGTTCTGGTTCTGACCAACTAAGGTAAAAAAAAAAAATCATTGCTGTAAATCACGCTGATTAAATCTAACAATCGCTTATCATATCACGTAAAACCGTGCAAATTATATTTTGTTTTCAAATTGTTAATGTTCAATATCAGCATTGGGTGACTACATTTAATGCCCTTCTGATATTTATCCTTGTTTTCGCATGGGCCCGGTTCCAGTCTCTTTTTTTTCTGTAGCCACTCAGAAGTCTTTTGCATTTTACAACGTGTGAATCTCAGTTGTCCCTGGTGATTGTCGTTTGAACCTTTCTGGGTCCACCATCAAATTGATAAGTTTAATTATATCAAGTGCATGTGAGAAAAGGCTATAAATCTCCACCTCCAACATCCTCACACGCAATATAGCCTACTAGCCGAGACACCTTCCTTATGTGTACAGATGTGACGCAATGACGCAAAGACTTGCTCCAATTTCCCGTGGAAATCCACCAGTACCACTGGGATTAAAAACATGATTACAAGCTTATCGTTTTGAAACGAGCTAAGGCAAGCCGATAGTTTTGAACACTGGCTGGTTATTTTTGCTCAAATTTATTTTGGATAATTTTTCACCCAAAAAAGCTACGGACTGCAGCTTTAGGCTAGCTAAATATGAAAACAATAAAAGTCTATGTTATGTCCCCATTTAGCCTTACAAGTCAAGTGTGGGTGTGAAATGCAAATAGAGTTGAACAAAAAATAATCATGATGAATGATCAAATTTCAAGGACATTTTGCCTCCTGTCTACAACAAAAGCTTTCAGTCGAGTTTCACTCTAAAAAAATACTGGGTTAAAAACAACCCAATTTGGGTTGTTTTCAACCCAATGATGCAGCAGCTTGTGTTGACTGTCTGTCACTGAACCGTTAAAATTTGAACTGTTGCTGCGGAAACCGTAGTCTATTTTTTATTACTAAAAATGTACCTTTTTTTTTTCTTTTTTTTTGTGGAAAATAACCTAACATATTGACCCAATATGAGTAAACTAACGGTTGGGTTAAAATAACCGAAGGTTTTTTCTTATACTTTTCTATAGACAGACTCAAAAGCCCAACGCAGCCAAAACATTATTGATAACTATAGGCTGGGTCCTTGGTTGAGCCATTGATCGTTTATTCTTCTGAGAACGTCAAAGACCTCCTGATGCAGTTTGTCATCCGTGTACCTCTGAAATCCTCAAGCATGAAGCTCATACTAGCCGCCTGTGATTGATTGCCGTTGTCACACCTCCAGAGGTCCACACCCCGACGGATGTGTTTCATGCAGCAAGAAATCGCATCAGTGGAAACAATGGCAGTCCTCTGACTGAAATCAAAACTACAACGGTACAACTACAACATCTTGTCCTTCATCTATTTTGGATTGTCACGGCTCACCGCCCAACAGATACACGGACTTCAGTAGATAAAGAGGTAAAATCACACAATCTGGCTGTGCAAATTACATCACATCTGCTTAGCGTGTGCACCAGTGCACGTGAACTGTAATGTTTCATCAGTGACATGTATCGTGTGATCAATGCATAAATCACAAGGGTGCGATAGTGATAATTGTCATGCATACCACGCTTAGACATTTTCGAAATAATTAAATTCTAATATAGCCTATTTGTTTCCTATCGTGTGATCCATAACTGCAATTGGAAAACATTTAGTTCTGAATGTTGTGTGCATTTGTAAACAATTATTCTAGCAGTTCTGCCTCAATCTTCCACATATCCGCTGCTATAATAATTTTGTTATGAATAACACATGAATATCTTCCTGAATACATTTGTTTGCTTTCTTTTTATGTGAATTTCTTCGTTTTTAGTCTTTCTATTTGAGATTGCCTGTTTTTTGTTTGATTTTTTTTAAATGATATTTACACTAAATCGGTTCTGTAGAATTAGCTGCACAGATAAAATCTGGTCTGATTTTTTTTTTTTTAAATAGCACCCAATATCATCATTAATGCTATACTGTATGTTGAATAGGAAACAGCTTGAATAATGTTTGTACGCATAAGCATTCATACTTAAATGATATGTGTTATAGAAAAGCTTTAGGCTACATATCCTACTTTATAGCATGTAAAAATATATATTGTGCCATGATCGAATTAGAATGTAATAGTGTGCAATGAATATCAACAATTTCAGGGTCATCAACCCTTATATTATTTATCATTGTGTAAAGTCAAGTCACCTTTATTTCTATAGTGCTTTATACAGCACAGATTTACAGTGATAACAGGGAAATGATGCATATTAGCTGTTGTTCAGCTTAAGTCAGTTCAGTGTTGATTCAGTTCCATTGTAAAGATAATCAATTATTAAATTAGTTCATTTCATCTATAAAGCAGTTCTGCAACAAATGATGTCATCGTCCAGCTCAGTTCAGTTCTCATACAACAGCGTCAGACAGATCAATAATATTGTTGAATATTAAGTGTCCCCAACTATATGCAATCCAGAGGCGACAGTGGCAAGGAACCCGAACTCCATCAGGCGACAGAATGGAGGAAAAAAAAGAAATCTTGGGAGAAACCAGTGCTCCTCTGGCCAACGAACAACACGGTGTGATTAGGATTCTGTCCAAAGAAAAACAGAAATAACACAATAAAAATATCTGTTCTCTATATCAGCACTTGGCCATTTCAACATACAATTATTCATTATCGGCATTGGTCAGAAAAGCAATATTGATCAATCTCTAGTTTCTAACACTTAAGTTGATGGCTAGTCTATGGGTGACAACATGGACACCAGGGTTAATTAACACATTGAGGTCTGAGACTGATGGATCCAGATCAGTTTCCACTTTGTGCACAAGTTGCTGCTAAACATTTTACTATTTGCCAGGTTGAAAAGACAGGTATTGTTATTGTCAGCTCATAGTACAGAGGTTGCATTAAGTATACCAAAATATGGTTTATTTGTACACATACTATAGACCAATTTTCAGTTGGTAAATATGGTGACGTTTTTATGCTTAGATGGTGGCAGAACGATCCCTCTGGCCGCTTCACTAACGTAAAGTCTGCAAGTTTTGTTAGCTTGTTTTTAACAATGACTGGAGAAAATCCGATTTTATCTTAATGTGCAAGGCCACTCACTGTCCAGGACCGCGATTGTTATTTGCAAAAGTTAATTTTAACGGACGGAACCAGATTGGCTGACCCGTACACTCATTGAGGATCTGACAGGATTAACGTTAACGCTACCTCCGGTTGAGTGGCCTGACATCTACACCAACCTGATAGAGAAACGGAGGGCATATAAATCTTTAGATGCCTATAACTATGTGCTGAATGGTGATGTGCAAGACGTGTGTGTACGATCCGCAGTTCTGCCTAGCCAGCGCCATGAAGACGACAATGTAAAGAGTGACATTACGGTGCAATTTTAATGAGGTGAATATTTTCTAGAAATAAAAAATTGCAGATAAAGCATATTAATGTTTCATTGATTCTTGCACCCAACAACACAACAAGATGACATTTAATAATAATAAGAATAATTTAAGATCCTTATTTTGTAGCCGAATCTGTGCTGGTTTGTATTCACCGCCTCCAGTTTTCCCTTTGTTCTGCCACCAGCTAGCGCTGTGACGTAACTGTGACGTCGGCTGGAAATTGGTCTATATGTCATAGTTTATTTATTCTGGTTCCATTTTTATTCCAATGGTCCATTATTATATATTTACATTTTTACATATGGTATATCTCTTTCTACATAACAACATACTGCATATTTCTATTACTTAATTCATATGCTTCTGTCCACAATGTCTCGCCTGTACCCATTATCTGTTTGTCTCATCCACACTGTATACCCAACAATCTTTAACAATATATGCTGATAATTGACTATTATTCCCCAAGTATTGTATTGTATATGTAATGGGAATTACATGGGAGTTTTTAAATAGATTGTCACCAGCATTTATAGACCTGAATGAGAAAAATCCCAATATATGCCACTGTCCCTTTCAATTTGATAAATGGAACACAGAGTAGAAAATATATTTCATTAACCATGTGTAACTGTGTCCTGCTATGTGTCTTTTCTAGGGCAATGGAGGTGTCAGATGATGACATGAAACGTATGATGAATTTTTGGAATTTACATCCCCCTTTATATCTGCACTATCCTTAGCAAAGAACAACCCAGAGTAACCATGGCAACAGCAGCATCCTCGGAGTGAGCATCATTCCCTCTTTCATCTGTAAACACGAATATTGTGGTTTGTAGATGCTCGCCATATTGCTCATTTTGTGCTGCTCACAGATTGCTCTACAGATGTAGATGTTCATGGAAAAAAGTAATTATTACAAAATTGTTTTAACTATGTCTGAGGCAAACCATTGAATACGCCTGTAATTGTTTTATTGATTATGCAGTTCTCAACTGGTGTAAGAAAAATTTCCAGCATTTAAAGCAGCACAAAAAACTGAATTTTGTCCGTTGGTGTGGTCGCCAGTATAGTTATGATATATATATATATATATCATTCTTGGTGTGAACAGACCTTAAAAGTATTAATTTTAGTGCTGTCAAAACGATTAATCATAATTAATCGCATCTAACATCAAAGTTTGTAAATATAATATATGTGTGTATATATGCAGTACACATACATACACACACACAATGTATATTAGTGCTGTCAATCGATTTTGATATTATAAATATTTTTTTCTGTAATTAGTCGCAATTAATCAGACCTAACATTAAAGTTTTTAATATATTTTTATATTGTAATAATTTCACATTTAATCTCCAAATTAATGTAGAAACAACAAAGACAGTAGCCTATATTTTAAATATTTGTTTAATGGCATCTTTTTATGAGAGAAGGCCGGTATCACAGACACCAATACTGCTACTAAGATATCTCTATGAAATAGATTTTTTCCCCCTCAATTTTAACATTTATTTGGCTTTAAAAACATAACAACTTTTAATTTAAGTGAACTTAAGATAATCTTCAATTCTTCGATTATTCTTAATGAAAAACAGCAGCATTTTTATTAGATTCACAGACGCGCGCCAGTACTGCACTGCATTCTCTTTTGTGTCTTATCGCGCTTGAATGGTTTAAAAGCATTTGCATGAATAAGAGCGTGATCATATAATGTAATGCTATAGCCAAAGGATTGATAGCCCTAATTATATATATATATTAGGGCTGTCAGTTAAACGCGTTATTAACGGGGTTAACGCAAACCCATTTTAACGGCGTTAATTTTTTTATCGCGAGATTAACGGTCTTTTTGGCCTAGCAAACTTTGTAGTTTTTTTCACAAGCTTTTGCAACAGGACGCGGCATGCGCGGCGCTGCGCTATGAAACCCATTCATTTCAATGGCTTGTGCCGCGCGAGGACGTTTTGTTGCTTCGTCGACCAAAGCGCAAGCGGATCTAGCTAGACCGGAAACAAAACAACAGGCACGACACCGCACACACTTGTTTAGGCTTGCGAGCCGGCCAAATAGTAGGTTAACGTTAAGTTTTGAGTGGATGACGAGCGCGAGACGCCGAAATGGATGCCAATAAGATTCTGAATGCAAAGTTTACTTTTAAAAAAGTTGCCAAATGGTTCCATTGACAAGACCAAAGTGATCTGTGTGTTTTGTCGTTGTGAACTGAGCTATCATCATCGCGATCGCAGCACGTCAGTCTGAAATACCCAAATACCGCTTGATGATGGCCAAGCACACACACACACACACACACACACACACAGCTGATGCGAATTCTCCGCCCCCTCGTCAATATCAGGACCTCCTCAGTATTTCTTTCACCCTTTTATTGATGGACAGTGTTACATTGAGAGATTATTTGCTCCAAGTGAGAATGTTAGTGTGAAATTGAACACTGTATATGCCAATGTTGTTTTCAATAAAAAAACATTTGCACAAAGCAAGCTGATCCACTTTTCCATGTTGATAAGAGCATTAAAATGAGAAAAAATAATGGGACAAAAAGAAATCAAGAGACGTTTAGAATAGATAAAACTGTGCGATTAATTGTGATTAATCGCAAGTTAACTGAGACAGTAATGCGATTAATCGTGATTAAATATTTTAATCGTAAAACAGCACTAATATGTATATATATATATATATATATATATATATATATATATATATATATGTATTAGTGCTGCGCAATGATTAATCGCATCAAAAATAAAAGTTTGTGTTTACATAATATATGTGTGTGTACTGTGTATAATTATTTTGTATATGTAAATACACACATATGAAATATTTGCATGTATATACTGTACATATATTTATACATAATTTGTATTATATATAAAAGTAAATACTTTTAATATTTTATTAAAAGTATACAAACCTTATGTTAGATTTGATTAATCACGATTAATCGATTTGACAGCATTAATACATTTTTTTTTAATCATACGGTAGTGTAAGTTTGTATTGTTATTAATATACCTCACACTTTTGGTCTTCTGTTGCAGGTAATGTTTTACAACGTCTTCAGTGTGGAGAGTAATTCTCTTAACGGGAGCTCACATAACCATGGCAGTGGTCTAGCTATGACTTTCCAGGTTTGAATGGATGATACCTGGTAACAGCTGCCATGTTCGCCTGTAATGGCAGCTCACTGGAGGGGTGTGGCCTTCTTGAACCAATAGAAACTGAGACGCAAGAGGCTGATACTGCCCTCATGCCCACCACTCTTAGGGTGGCACTGGCTGCCATCATGATCTTCATGATCACCATCGGTTTCCTCGGCAATGCCATTGTGTGTCTGATAGTGTATCAGAAACCGGCCATGCGTTCAGCGATTAATCTGCTCCTGGCCACGCTGGCCTTCTCTGACATCATGCTGTCGTTGCTATGCATGCCATTCACCGCCGTCACTCTCGCAACTACGGACTGGAGCTTCGGAGTGGGATTCTGCCGCGTGTCCGTCATGTTGTACTGGTTATTTGTTCTGGAAGGTGTGTCCATCCTTCTGATCATCAGCGTCGATCGCTTCCTCATTATAGTTCAGCGGCAGGACAAGCTAACGCCGCATCGTGCGAAAATTCTCATTACCGCGTCATGGGCTCTGTCGCTCTGCGTGTCCCTACCGTCCGTGATCGGCTGGAGGACGGCCGGGATCGGCGCACAGGTGCCGCAATGCATTCTTGGATACAGCGAATCGCTGGCGGACCGGGGTTACACGGTTCTGCTCGCCGTCGCGGTGTTTTTTGTGCCATTCGGTGTGATGTTGTACTCCTACCTGTGTATTCTCAACACGGTGCGACGCAACGCGCTGCGCATCCACAATCACACCAGCGAAGGCAGTGTCGCCATCAACCATGTCAACAAGTTGGGTTTAACCGGTCTTCAGCGACCCCAAGTCAACGTGGACATGAGTTTCAAAACCAGGGCCTTCACCACCATCCTCATCCTTTTCATTGGCTTCTCCGTGTGTTGGTTGCCACATACGGTGGTGAGCCTGCTGGCGGTGTTCAGTAGACGCTTCTATCTCAGCCCCGCGTTTTACCCCGTCAGCATCGGGGCGCTGTGGTTGAGTTACCTAAAAGCGGTTTTCAACCCTGTGATATATTGCTGGAGAATCCGAAAGTTTCGTGAGGCCTGTCTGGAGTTTATGCCCAAGACTTGTCATCTCTGTCCCAAGATTCCCGGACGAAGTCGTAGGCGTATAAGACCCAGCAACATCTATGTGTGCAGCAGTGAGACCCAGTCTTCAGTCTAGGATTCGCACCAAAGTATGTTTAAAATTGACAAGGCAAGAATGAAAGATGATGTTTAGATATGACACACTTGGTTTCAAGGGTCTTTGAATTCCCATGGAGATGAGAACGCTTATTAATTGAGTACTTGATAAATACGTCCTCCTATCATAGTCTGCAGTGACGAAGGAAAAAGCATTAGCTGTCTGAAATTCATCAAAGCAATATTCTTATATATTCCTGAACTGGGTCATGAACTGAATTTCTTTTATTTCATTTGGAAAAGGTTTTACAGGTTGGCAAATAAAGCATCTAAACTGGTGATTTACTGAACATGTTTGGTAGAATTTATTCATGATTAGGTGAGTGAGTTTTGTTTGTGGTCATTATTTACATTCACATTTTGTAATGCCCAAAGTGAAACTGCATCCATGCTGAAAAAACAAACAAAAAACTCTAAAACCAGACTAAGTTGATTGGCTGGTCTTCCAGCCTGGCCATAGCTGGTTCAGAAGGCTTGTTTTAGAGGGGTTTTGGCCAATTCTCTAGAAGGCCAGGCTGGAAGACCATCTTTACCAGCTTAAACCAGCTACATCTAGCCTAAAACCAATACAATTTTCACTTATTCTACCAGTTTGACAGAAGAATTTTGCTTTTGCTTATACAAATCGATACTGAAATATTAAATTAATACTCCTTTTCTGCAGTATCGATACACCGATACCAGCTGTCAGGGGCGGACTGGCCATCCTGGTGGGCCGATATGCTTTTTTGGGCCAATACATCTCATACTTGTTTTGTTTAACTGGCGGCGCTGGGGTCTTTGTGCCGGTGTATCATGTGGGAAACACTGCGATTGCTATGCCAATGCAGCTTATAGCGTGTTTTAGGATTCATCACTGTGGAGTATAGTTCAATTGTATTAATAAATGACAATTTTGGAGCTATTTCCTCTGTTAACTCTCACTCATTCCTACTCACTCATTACATGGCTTTAGTGGTTTTAAGGAATGGGAGTTGATATACATATTCAAGGGCATGCAAAGATGGGTGGTGTTTATGATCATGTAGTGCCACATGAAAATGCCAGGGCGGATTTTGTACATTTTCTCTCTTCTCTCTGACGGCGAATTGACACACAAACCCGTCTCATCTCATTCACTGTTCTCATTCGCTCCCGTTGAATAGTGTTGATGTTACAGGTCCTGAATTTCAGCACGGGGTTGCAGGTATTTCGCATAATTCTACTCTACTCATTCCCGCAGGTTTTGAGTGCGCCATTGATATATAAGTGGCTTATGTGATATATAAGCTCTTTTTTGTGACTTATTGCTCTTAAACGGTCAAACACACACAATTAAGTCAGAATGCCCGTCTTGGTGAGTATTCCGGTGAACACAGAAACGTAAATAGTTGAAAAACAAATCGCATGTGGTGTAACAGTATAGGATCTGTGCATAAGCTCTTAAAGTGACAGCAGCCTAATAAACTTAAAATCAAAGAACAAAAGACAAAGAGAAAATCACTCACTGCTCTTGAATGAATAACTTTTGTAACTTTAATTGTAAGCATTATTCTATTTTTACAATGAAGACTATCCAGTGTAATTTTATATTTGATTAATTTCTGTACTATTTAGTTGAATACTGCTGTTAGACCCACCTTAAAAAAAATTAAAGCCATGTTTATTTCATTTGTTTCGTATATTTTATCTCTTTATTGTATTTATTTGTGCTATCATTTGCAATTTGTTCTTTTTTTATTTTATTACTGATGGTTTACTTTAGTTCAAAGTTTCAAATAAATCCTCCCTGTTGTTAGCTATTGCAACAAAATTACCCAAATTATCAAAGAATTTTGAGATAATTATAAAAATATCTGTTAGTTTCCCCTGTGGTATCACATATACATTTTTTTCAAGGTATCATATCGAAGTTGGAAATTCCAGTATCGTGACAACATATCAAGTTTAACTTTAGAATTATGCTTATGAAAATTGCATAAAACTACTATAGACACTTTTTTTTTGTATTTTCACCATTTCACCAAAATGTAATTTTGGAGTGCATTATTTTTTATAAATGCGGCATTGTCAGTTAAGCGAGAAATGCAGATTGTCCATTTTAATTGGGTTTCTTTATCAGTAATTTGGGAACCATGCCTATATATAAAAGCTAATACTCAAATCTGTCAATACTGAAAATGAAAAAAGTGGTTGACCGATATGCATCTTCCAGTTGACAAGGCTGATATCAATGTCAAAAGAGCAGAGTTGCAGATGGCTGATATAATGTAATAAACCGACGAAGTGAAACAAACTCTTATTTTACACAATAAATAAAATGTTTATTCAAACAAGTGGACATGCTTACTGGCCAGTGCTAATAATTTGTAAATGGCCAAATATTGGCCTGTTAATTGTCTGGCCAGTCAGTGACATTGATTTCATATCTTTTCGTCAGGTTAGTCAAAGTCTGTCAATTCTATTTGAAAAAGAATTGAGTCATGCATTGTCATTAACTCATTCTTTATATAGCTGATGATTCTCTCTGCCCTAGCACACATTGTACTCTAGGTGGCAGTAATGGTCATGGGATGTTAAACGTCTCCCGCATAAGCGTAGAACAAGAAAGCTTTTTCCTGCGCTTTCCGGAAATGGACGGATAAATATGGCGTCGCACAGGGGTGACAGAACGAGAAACCCTACATCAAATGCTGGAGATGTTTCCAAAATCGACCTTCTGCTTCACCCTGAGCTCCTTTCTCAAGAGTTCATTCAGCTCATGTTACATGAGGTGAGACTCGGAGCCACATGAAACCAGTCGGGTTACTGTAGGCCACATCGCATAACATACATGACAATAATAATCATAATAGTTTGGTTATTTTTGTTCCGTGCGTCTTTTCTGTATAGTATCAATTTATCAGACAGTAAATATACCTGAAATCTGAAGAATTAATACATCAACAGTCATTGAACGGCAGCAAACGAGTCATGACTGCGTTGTGTTTTAGAGGAAGATAACAGTGGGTGACCATGAGGACCGCGACCGGCTGACAAGTCTGTACCTGCGACATGTGCTTCCTCTCCCGCAGAGAGATCTGCCCAGCAGCCGCTGGGGGAGGAGGATGGAGAGGAGCAGAGCGCACAGGTACTCACACAGGTTATGATGCTGTCCCGCCTCTCCCGCTATTAATGCACTTACATGAAAAGAATGATGTGTGCCCGTTCACTTTGAAGCTCCAGCGTGTGCGCGCATCAGATGATCAATACAATCAATCACAGTTCTAATCGGAAAGCGTGTCAAAATGACGATTCCCAAACTTTCCCAAAACCACTTGATTATTTTTTCAATATCTTTGACAATGTGTGTGTCTTAAGTTTTATAGGAATCAACTTTAAATGGAGCGACAGAAATTTCCCAGCTCATAAATATCTTCATTTGTGTGTTGAAGATTAACGAAAATCTTATAGGTTTGTAACGACTTGAGAGGGAGTATGATGACATAATTTAAATTTTTGTGTGAACTGTGCCTTAGAAATTATACGGTAACCTGAGCCAACTAACTCTATATCCTGACTAATATCGTTTACACCACCAATACATATCGTCACATTTTGATATCACTATATAACAATTTATCGTTACACATTACCTCCTGGAAATGAGTTTTTGCAGGGTGGGATGTCTGTTATTTATTATTGTTATCATAATTTATTATCATGTTAGGCGTGCAGAAGGAACGCAAGCAGTTTCACAGATGAGTGATCAGTTATACAGTGTTGCCCTGGACAACAATTATTATTCCAAAAATATTTGACTGAAGTTTCACAGAGCGCTTTGTAATAATCACTTATACTCTTCCCCTTTGCTTAAATTCTCCAAGAAATCAATTTTTTTTATGGAAGTTTGCAGTATTTATTATAAGCGATTTAACCATCTACATATTTTATTTATTTATTTTTATTCTTATGCCCTCGTAATCTTTAATCAAAGATTTAATCGTTTTCTGTTTTGTTTCAGTTCAAGCACTGATAGTGGCAGGAAGAGGCCGTTGATTGTGTTTGACGGCAGCTCTACTAACACTGGCGGTGTGAAGCTAAAGAAAGCTGATACTTCAGCAGCACCTGTCACCACAGACCGAATAAAGCCCCCCGTTTCCAGCATCAGTCTCACAAACCCCATACGCAAGCTCACCGGGACCTCTACAAACTGCTCTTCCTCAAATTCCTCTAACAGGACGCCAGTGTCATCGCCGGGGGCCAGTCCCAAAAGCCCCTGTAAGCACTCGAACGCTGCCAACCTCTCTCCACATTCAAACAACACCACGTCTAAACTAAAGCGCTCGTCCCCCAGCGACAGAGAACATGACACTGCTGTGAGTATGACACTAACACCATGGAAATCTGTGATGTAGGTGTAAGAGTGAGATTTGGTTGTGAATTATCTTGACAGTAAGTGTGAATTTAAGTTTTATATTTGTTTGTGGCAGAAGGACATCAAGTCACCTGATACAAAGAAAAAGATTCAACATATCACATGGCCATAATCTCTGATGTCATCAAGGACGGATGGTTAACGCCACTGACATCGTCTGCTGGGTCTCTGTGTTGGAGAAAGAAAGACACTCATGATGGGACACATGAATTTGAAAGATGGGTTCTTGTCACACACCTCAAGTTGTCACTCTTTACTTACCAGCCTCAGGAAAAGTGACTTGTGCAATGTGACCCTCCGGAAATGCTTTGGCTTTCGACTTTTATGTAGTGGTGAAGGACCTGACACATTCCTAGCAGTTTTATGTTGGACTGCTCAGATTTTGCCTTTAGAAATCTTTCTGGCAATTAATAAACTTTTCATTGCACGTGAATCATGTTGACAAATCAAACCCACCTAGAGGAAATAGATGGACATGCTCTTGGTGTGTTTTAGAGACGTCTGCTGTGTTTTACTGACATAGGAATATACTGAGTAACTGAGTCACTCTTTTCTCAAATAAGATGTTTTACAGGTTGATCTGTGATTTAGATCGGAATAGGCCCATCCACGTTTGGCCAATATCAAATAAATCCCTTTATGGTTTTGTATTTATAGCCCCCATAGGGTCAAAATGCAGTTGTGATGTGTGTTGCATCATGCATTGATGTATTTAAGTGAGAAAGCAAAATGAAGGGTGTATTACATGTCAGTGTTTTAGTGAAGGTTTTTCTAGGCATTATGAAATGAGTTTTTTTATTGAACGGCATGGAAAGTTCCTCACTGACGACAAGCCTGATGAAATAAATGGCTGAGAGTGTTGATCATGGTGTTAGTGTGGTTTTTTTTGTTTGTTTTGTTTTTGTTTTACTAACACCTTAGTCAATCCTAAGTACACTGCCAAAGTCCATAAAATAAAAGTTTATTAATATTGATGGTGTTTGAATTTCATTCCATTCATAGTTCTGCTTTGTTACAGGTACAATACTGTTGAAAAGTTGGGGGTTGTTTTTTTTTTAAATCAATTTAGAAAATGGTTTATATTTTTGTGGAAACTGATAAATTTTTTTGCCCAGGATTTTTGGATGAATAGAAAGTTCAAAATAACAGCCTTTATTTAAAATGGATATCTTTTGCAATATTATAAAAGTCTTTACTGTCACTTTGATCAATTTAATGCATCCTTGCTAAATAAATGTTTAAGTGTCACCCCCCTTTTTTTGAATATACATGAAAATGCACATTTCAAACTTAAATGGTTCTAATTCAAGAATGCTTTGGAATATAGACGTAAGATTGGTCTCGTTTTAAAGAAGACATTTGGCAGATTTTTGTAGAAGTGAAATAAATTAAGAAAGTGAAACAGAAAAAAAGTTATAGAAGTTTGAGTTTATGAAAATGTACAATGTAAAAAGTTTAATTATTCATATTTTATAGAAAATATATATTTTCAAAACCTGGGCGACTCTAAAACTGCAAAAAAAAAATCAAAGTCAAAAACCTGTTTCAAATTTAAGGTTGATATCTCAAAAAATGAGCTTTCAGTAAGATTTTGTTTTGGCGCAGTACCAAACTTTTTCACTAGATGACAACCAGACTCCATTACTGCCCATATAAGGGCGCCTCCATTTCCAAATGTGTTTTGAGTGATCTGAACCATTATTTCCACAATTTTCATACAATTTATGAAGTAGACATCCTATTCAGAAGTAATATGAGAAGTTTGGCAGATTTTGATATGAATTCAACCTCTAAGAAACACAAAAAGAACAAGTATGTGCGTTATAGCTTCCTGCCACATCACAAATGGTGAATCTATAATTTTTTTCTTTATATTTAAAAAAAATTTCAGACCTTTTTTTCTAAAATAATTGAATGGATGCTATCTTTTGAACTCTTGGCATGAAAACAAACTGAGGTTTCTACCCTTCTTTCATAATTTTTCATGTTCATCACTATTTCAAAATAAAGGTCTTAACACGCCTTAGGAGTATGAAAATATTCTTGTTGCAAATTGATAAATTATGGCTCTTCTGTAATTCATTTTGAAAATCAATCACCAAATATGGAAACTAGAGATTGTAAGCTTTCAAATGATATATAGTTTGTCAAGATTAGTTTAGGTTTAGTATAGGATATTACTGTTTTAAAAATGTAATGGATTTGGGCCCACCGGTGGGCCGTTTCTTTAAAATATTACTGAATCCAAACTTTTGAACCATAGTGTAAATTCGAATGACAATTACCCAAAATATTTTAGCATTTTTTTCGAAATTAAACGGGACATATTATGCAATATTCACTTTTACATGTTTTTTGAACAAATATGTCAGCAGTGTGTGTACAAATCCACCCACTCCTTTTTTTTAATCCCCATAAATCATTTCGTTTTTGGCAGAGTATCCGAGGCACCAGCTGTAAAGGCTCTGCCCTCTTCTGGGAAGCCAGCAGCTCATTTGCATTTAAAGATACATGCATAAAAACAGCATGCTTTTACAACATGGTATAATACATATTGTGTGGGGCATTTTGAGCTGAAACTTCACAGTAGTGATGGCAGTGTGACGCTGAAGCTTCGATACGTGCTTCGAAACCCTGAACTACAAACCTAGAGAACCACTGCTTCAAAGCTTGCTTTGGTGCGAAAAAAATCATGTGACATATGACGTCCGAAGCAGCAAGTGCTTCATTGCCTGAATGAATCATCTGACTGGTTTGCGGTCCAATCAGGTGATTCACTGGAACGGCGCGTCTCGATTCTGAGTCTGATGGTGACTGATCCACCAGTAGCAAGATCAGAAGACCCACTGGCGTACTGGCGAAACCATCAAAATGTGTACCCTCATCGGTTTAATCTTGCAAAAAAAAATTTATGTTCGCCAGCATCATCTGTTCCTTGTGAGCGAGTGTTTTCCAAGTCTGGAGAGGTTGTGAGCAAAAAAAGAAACCGACTCAGTCCAAAAACTGTTGAAAAAATAATGTACCTCAATAAAAATCTTTGAGTGTTCCCCATCCCAAAAATCACCCCCTGCCATAGTTACACAAGCACACCCAACCTATGCCATATTTTCCAAGCACTCTCTCCTTAATAACACAAAACATACATTTATCAATTTTTATTTGTAAATAGAACATTATGCTCAGCATTAGCGTGTGCATCAAAGAGTTTTCAAAGGAAATATAGTTAAAAATCCAAGGGTGATCTTAGCAAAGATGCTTCAGAACTAAAGTAGTTTCTCCAATACTGCTCACTGATTAATTTGACTGCAGCCATGCTTTTCGCCAGGAGAGGTCGCTGCAACTGAAGCTTCGAGTAATGAACCCATTTTCGAACCAATTGGCTCAAGTGGTTCAGTGCTTCACAAAAGCTTCATTTGGCCATCACTACTTCACAGACACATTCTGGGAACACCTTAGTCTTATATTACATCTTGTAAGTGTAAGTGGCATAATAGGTCCCCTTTAATATAAAAGTGAACAATGATGGAGACAGCAATGGTTATATTGAGGTCAATGACCTTTTCACCATTGTCTCGTACTTTAGTTTATATCCAGTTAGAGATCAGAGAACTTCTACTTTGTTCTTTCGCTCTTGTCAGTTCACACTCTCTCGCTCATTCTCTCACTCTTACCTCTCTCTATAACTTTTGTCACAGGTCGGGAGGGTCGACTGGGTCTACCCCCTCCCTTTAGAATGTACCACTGAGGAGCAAACCAGAAACCAGGCGGACAAGGAAAGTAAAAATGTAACAGACTTTATTGATTAAAAGAATTTGTAGATCCTAATTAAAACTCCTCCTTCCTCCTCAGCCTCCAGTGGCCGCCGGGACGTCGGCCGGACAACAGGCGAGGACTCGGTCCACTCAACCCCTCAGATTTTCGGATGCCAAGGCTCTCGGCTATGGAGGGGACGTGGATTGGACAGCAGGTAAGTACTCTAAGCACGGCTTATCCTTCTCGGGCTCTAAGTAGAATGTAATCTTCTCGATCTCTCAAGTGCAGGAAGTTTACAGCGGTGAAGAGGGGCGTCGACTGGACAGCAAGTAGGTACTCCAGGTACGGTTGGTTCTTCCCAGTATAGCAGGTGCAGCAACTTACGGCTGTAGAACGGCGTCCACCAGCCGGAGGTGAGTATTTCGAGTATGGTTGGTTCTTCCCTATACAGGGGATGCAGGGAGCTTACAGCTGTAGAAAGGCGTCGACTAGACAACAGGTGAGTGTTTCGAGTACGGTTGGCTCTTCCCTGTACAGTAGGTGCAGAAAGCTTACGGCTGTGAAAGGGGCGTCGACTGGACAGCCAGTAGGTACTCCAAGTACAATTGGTTCCTCCCAGTATAGCGGATACAGAAGCTCACGACGGTGAAAGACGTCGACCGGACAGCAAGTGGGCACTCCAAGTACAGTAGGTTCTTCCCCATACAACGGGTAACGGAAAGTTTCGGAGGGCTGGCGAGAAGGCTGACTGGGTGGTCAGATCGGCAAGTCCGGACAATCGGCCAGCTCCTGGAGTCAGCAGGCCTTAGGGGTAACACCCCGAACAGCAAACACTGGATTTCCTTCGCTCTCCACGGCAGTGTTGATAACACAGAATGCAAGCGGCTTTAGATGGAGGACACTCAGAACAGCAGATAACTGGATTTCCTCCGTTCTCCAGGACAGCATCAATGATGAATCAGAACACAGCAGACTTGGAATGTACAACACTCAGAACAACAGATAACTGGATTTCCTCCGTTCTCCAGAACAGCATCAATGATGAATCAGAACACAGCAGGCTTGGAATGTACAACACTCAGAACAACAGATACCTGGGTTTCCTCCACTCTCCACAACAGTGATGATGGAACAGAATGCAAGTGGCTTTGGATGGGGGACACTCAGAACAGCAGATAACTGGATTTCCTCCGTTCTCCAGAACAGCATCAATGACGAATCAGAACACAGCAGGCTTGGAATGTACAACACTCAGAACAACAGATACCTGGGTTTCCTCCACTCTCCACAACAGCGATGATGGAACAGAATGCAAGTGGCTTTAAATGGGGGACACTCAGAACAGCAGATAACTGGATTTCCTCCGTTCTCCAGAACAGCATCAATGATGAA